AGATATCAAACCTATAGTATTTATATTTTGAATTACTTTCATTATTTTGATTCAGTTTTATATTCGTTTTTCTTGTTAAATAATTTTCATGATAATAATAATTCTAATGATCCTGTTCATAATGAATCTATTTTTTTAGTTTAATAATAAATAACTTTCGAAAACTATTTTCATAACCCATTTGAAGCTGAATATAGAGTTTTATTTTAAATTAAAGTTATGTATTGAAACTGATTTAATTAGTCATAAAAGTAAGTTTTAATAAAATGTTTATTGCGATCATAATTATGAAATTAAATGATCTCATCGGTGGTCAAGTGTTTGGCATTTCATTCACTGAAAAGACATCACTTTTCTGTCGGTTTGGTTCACACGACAGCCTCTAGTCTTCACAGATGTGTCCATTCATTCAATCGCTTCCAACGCACTCTTCGGACCAAACATTGTCTGTATTTCTGAACAACTCATCCATCGGTGGTATCCTTAAGAACAACACATTTACAGCACATTAGACACAGAAACTGAAAAAAAATATTTTTAAAAAGTTTTTATTTTCAGTGAAACTGGTGTTTAAAGTTTGCATTTAGTCATTGGATTACATTATTTGCATTTTATGTAAAAAGTAAATTAATTACTCGAATGGGACTCAAGAGGAATATCATAAGAATTAGTTCCACAGATTCTGTGGTCATTTGTCTCACAGAATATTCTTTGACAACAAGTTTACGGCATAAATACGTGACGTTATTAATGAATTGTCTATTCACTGAACCAATGATTGCATTGTTTTTCACACACAGAATATTCTTGTAGTATATACTATACCATAGTATTGAGTGTAAAATTCTCTACTGAATCAACACAACACATATGTATTGTATATTGATAATGAAAATATTGCCGATAAAAGTGGTCAAGGACAATATAAATGACATATTCTGGCTACTCGTTAAATATTCTGTAAGAATCAAACTATAATATGATAATTGAAACGGCATTCATGTTATATCATTCACTGACACAACAGATATTGAAAATAATAAACCTCTCACTCCGGACTGATTCACGAGTTTTGAAAATGTATTTGATTTTACATTTAAATCACATTTCGTTTGAATTTAACGTTTAATACACGAAACGAGTGGAAGGAGTGATGGCTGAAGAAGAAGACAATGAATGCCAAGAGTTGTGTCAAAAGGTTTGTAAAAAGACATCACTTTTGTGTCAATCACTCAATGATTGCATCATTTTGTATTCATTTCAATGTATTTATGAATTGATTTGATTTATAGCTACAGATGATATCAATTGATATGAAGTCCACTGAAGAAGAATATTATGAGAAAGACTCGTTCGACAGATATGGAGACGACTTATGCGAAGAGATATTGTCTTATCTGTCACTCGAAGACTGTTTCCGATTTGAATGTCTGTCCAAACAGTGGAAGCGATTGATATTCAAACCACAAGTATGTCTTAATGTGGATGAAGTGGTGCACAAATTGATCAGAAGGAAAGACGGCAAGTCTCGCAGTCAATGGTTCGCAAACATCAATTGGGAAGCATTGGAATCAATGGTCAAGAAGTTACCAAACATTACATCCATTCATATGACCATTAGTTCACAAAAGACCGAAAGAGTGTTTAGAAAACTCATGAAATCATACGAACACTCATTGATCGCAATCCACGTCTGGTTCGGACAATCAATATTACCTCACAGTCTCCTCAATCATCTCTACAAATACAGTCCCCAATTGACATCTGTTTCAATCCCGCGATTTCTTTACGCTACGTTCATACTGTACGCCAAACGTATGCCAAAACTGAGACAATTGTATGGATACACCGCTCACACTGGAAAGAGTCTGTTGTCAACGATTGTCAACAAAAAACATGAGATTTTGCTCAAGAATTTGACTCATTTTCAATGTCCTTACGAGACATTTGATGACAACCTATTGCCAGCGTTTGTCGATCACTACAAGAATAGCTTAAAATCGTTTTCAATTGTTTTCGATGGGAATGAAGTGACTGCCGAAGAATACATTAATGTCTTGTCACAGATATCACAGATGAAAGGGTTGCGAGAATTATCTGTTGGACTCATTTCCCCCACTGTTTGGGAGAATAACATTAATTCGCATAAAATTGAGGCTATCGTTGACTATCACTGCGAAGAGTTTGTCAATCAATGGCCACATCTTACGAGATATCGACTGAATATATTGTGTAAAACTGGTCCACAAGTGAGACGAGTCTATGAGTCGACGAATCGGATGAAACGATTACAACGTCTTGAGTTGATGTTTGAGACACCAATAGATCTAATCGGACACAAAGTATTGGTGACACCGAAGTCATTGTCATCTTTGAAACGATTGACACATTTGTCGATATGTCTGAGGAATGGTGTATTGGATGAGACATTCATGGACTCAAAAGACACACATTTGCCACGCATTCAGAGTCTAAAGATTAATCAATTAAAGATAACACCGACTATTGCTGAAAAGTTACCTGAACAACTCAAACCTGGAGTAATTATCATATTTGGAATTACTTTGATTATGTATTTAGTAATTGCATTTTTATTAGTACTTGGGTTTATTGATCTTGATTAAATTTTTTTGTTTCAATAATAAATAACTTTCGAAAACTATTTTCATCACTCATTTGAAGCCAATTATAGAGTTTTATTATAAATTAAAATTGTGTATTGAATTAGATTTAATGAGTATATGTTTGGACATAAAAGTTAGTTTTAATAAAATGTTTATTGCGATCATAATTATGAAATTAAATGATCTCATCGGTGGTCAAGTGTTTGGCATTTAATTCACTGAAAAGGCATCACTTTTCTGTCGGTTTGGTTCACACGACAGACTCTGGTCTTCACAGATGTGTCCATTCATTCAATCGCTTCCTAACCCTCTCTTTATACCAAACATTGTCTGCATTTCTTGTGTCCACAACTCATCCATCGGTGGTATCATTAAGAACTTAATTACAAAACTTTTTGTTCACTTTTAAACCCAAAATTTAAGAAATATTACTCAAAACAAAAAGTTATAAATGTTTTCATTGCGAACTACTTTTAAGTTAAACTTGTGTTTAAAGTTGCATTCAGTCTTGGATTACATTATTTGCATTTCAGGGCAAAGAAATCTATAAAAGACACGAATGAGACTCCAAAGGAATATCACAAGAATTAGTTCCACAGATTCTGTAANAAACTTGTGTTTAAAGTTGCATTCAGTCTTGGATTACATTATTTGCATTTCAGGGCAAAGAAATCTATAAAAGACACGAATGAGACTCCAAAGGAATATCACAAGAATTAGTTCCACAGATTCTGTAATGAGTTCTATGGCATCATATTGTCTCACAGAATATTCTTTAACAACCAGTAAAATAAGGCATTGAATTACAAGGCATCTAAAGTACTGTAAATGTGTTTATTTCTATGAACTTATGATTGCATTGTTATACTCACGATGAACGTCTTGAGTTAATGTTTGAGACACCATTGGATCTAANCACAGAATATTCTTTAACAACCAGTAAAATAAGGCATTGAATTACAAGGCATCTAAAGTACTGTAAATGTGTTTATTTCTATGAACTTATGATTGCATTGTTATACTCACGATGAACGTCTTGAGTTGATGTTTGAGACACCATTGGATCTAAACGGACAAAAAGTATTGGTGACACCGAAGTCATTGTCTCCATTGAAACGATTGACACATTTGTCGATATGTTTGAGGAATGATGTATTGGATGAGACATTCCTGGACTCAATTCACAGACATTTACCACACATTCAGTGTCTGAAAATGAGCACCAAATTAGAGATGACACCGACTATTGAAGCGATGGTCAAGAAGTTACCGAAACTTAAATTATTATTGCAATACTCAAATATTTACTGTCATTATACGCCAATTGTCTGATTTATTTTCAAGCAAATCTTTAATGTTATTAATTATAATCTATTTATAATTATATAATTGTCTTATTTTTAGCACTCAATTGCATAATACTGTACAAACAAAATGTATTCATAAATTATTTATGACTTAATATAAGGTTTATTAAAGTTTTCTTAACATTTTAATTAATTAATAAATACCAAGTGTTAGTTGTGTTATAATTGAAATTAAAAATTGTTATAAAATTCGTGTAAATTGTTCAATTGCAATTAACAATTATTTATACTAAATATTTTGTATTTATGTTTCTAAAAGATATTTTAGTTAAGTGTAGTACACCACCATTTGTGTAAGTATGGTTGTCGTATAACATTATGTTTAATGGTTCGTACGTAACATTAAATTCAATATAATATTCTCTATAAAACACTTGTTATAAACTTTATAATTCTTAGATATAATCAAATCCTTTGCATACAAATAGCTCTCAGTTTCACTAAACACTAAATTCTTGACTAAAGAATTTAATAATATTACGATCCATACGATAGCAGCGGTTGTATAATAGCACCGGAATATAGCGAATACTACGGATGACACACATGTCGGTTGAGGTATTGTATAAAAGTTTGCCAAATAGTCGGTGATATCTGAATAAGAAGTCCACGGAAGGACATACACTTCTAAGGGATAGTATGCCATACAATGCAAACACTGAACTAAGTGACTATATGGTCTGAAATATGTCCAGAATAAATGTTATTAATTAAACAAAATTTTAATAAAGTATTAATATTCAGTAAATTTATTCATACCTTAACAGTATTTACCGACTCTAACGCCACTTACGGTCATAATACATTTTGTATGGCTTTTCATTAAATATACTCCTTAATTTGATCTAGTTAAATTTTGTTTTATTAATTTAATGTTTAATTAAAGTTCTATCTTGGCATAAAATAACTAATTTCCTTACCACTTGTGAATGATTGGCAAACAAATAGAAACCAATGAGAGTTACAATACATGTGAATGATGTGTACAGCACTTGCCATAGGGGTAACTCTAAGCGGGGTATGTCCTCATCGACTGCATCTGGTATCTCTTCCATATACCCCAATCGAGGGGCTCCTGGCCTCCATCCCGGTCCTCAAAACACAATTCAAATATAACTATTATTTAGTCTCAAATAAAGTTTATAATAAATTATTTACCAGCAAATATAGCTAACAATTTATGTCTAATTTTGTCCGATAATAAGTAAAACGCTACTTACTCACATATCATTATGTAGACGACCACATAGTACAACACTGGGGACTGGGACCACCACTACGGTATGTGGTGTCAGAGACAGAGGAGCCGTATACACGGTTTTTCAGGATCAAATATTATGAGATAAGCACCAAAATTCTTATCGATATAAGACCTGTTTCTCGCTGTAGGAGAGAGAGAGAGAGAGAGAGAGAGAGAGAGAGAGAGAAATCAGTTAATTATAGCGATCGATGAGATTATATGATATATAAATATAATATCAATAGATAGTGAGAGTACAGAGTTGTGGGAATTGAGGCAATAAGTGAGAAATCATTGCCGATTCATACCGTGATGTACGCGATGATGGCTCGGAGTGTTGAACACATACTCAAGGAATCCGAGTTTGCCGATAGTGTCGGTGTGCAGCCACGCCTGGTATAGAAACATGTACTGCATGTGGGTTATCATAATTGGCGGCGGGATAGCCATAGCCAACAGTGATGTGTAATACTGTTTTTGGTATTTAATTGAATCACATATTAGTGGTAAAAGCAAAAATATAAGTAAAATATTTTTTTAGTAGTATGGTGGGATAGATTTTTGTAGTTATGTACACTTTTTCACTTTAGTTTCCATTTCATTCAATAACTTTCTCTATGTTTTTAATGTAATTTAATTTATTCGGGGACTTTTTCTGCTAATATGATATTCTTACAGACATATAAAAATAACAAATCAGACCTTAAAGTAATTTTCTGACCTTAAAAATCTCAAATAAAACCTTTTAACTAGAGCTTTGTTAAAAATTGAATTTAGTTCAATATGATGTATACTAGAAAAAGATATAGCATTAGTATTGTTTCATATTGTAGTAAAATAAACTCACTTATCTAGCAACTATAAGCTATACTCACATATTAGCAATTTGATTAGTACCTGTATTATAAAATAAGTTTTAACCAATACTTACATAAACAATATTCAACTCAAACCACGATAACCTAACAGCCGTACCAATATTAAAGTGCTTACAACTGTGGTGGTACTGGTGACTGGCCCACAAAAAATTCACTTCATGTAGTAGTCTATGAGCGCAATAAAACATAAACTCCATGACCAGTAGGGATATGAGCCAGACCCTCCAATCATTTGGTAGTGTTATTATGCGATAGTTTTCATAAATGTATTCAAACACGTAAAGCATGGCTGAGTATTGAAAATATCTGCCAGAATTTGGGAGTAAAATATATGTTTTATACTATAATCCTATGATTTAATAAGTTATATGAGATTTACCTAAATATAAAGGCAAACATAAGGGCTCCCGAATGCATAATGACTTCTAACATTACTTACCGACCGGAAAAGACCTTCATGGCCTAGTGGTTAAGATACCGCTTATCCATATAGTTCACTCCGGTCCTGACGTTACAAATTTGTAATTCCGTAAATTATACTAGTATTGAATTCCTATTATGCTAGTGTATAAGCATTTTGTTAATATATTTATAAATTTTACTTATATTTTCCTAATAGTAGATTAATTTAACAGAATTTTCTGTAAACTATCTTTTAAATATACAGAATCTATAATAATTGTTTAAATAAGTAGTTTAAAAATGGATATGAAATTGAAACATAAAAACGGTATTAAATGTTGAATTGCAAACATTTAAAAGCAGTTATAGACTGTAATTGTATATTTAAGAAAATTATATACCATTAAAATATATTGACTAATTTTATACAACGGATCTCGATCTTGATAACTTATACTGAACCTCTCTTTTTGCCTACTATTACTCCGATTAATGATTATCTCATTTAAGTCCTCAATATTTATCATTTTAATTATTGTCTTATTGTTGACTAATTTTATAGTAATAAAAAACTTAAAATGAATAGTGTATAATGAAATAAAACATTAAAAAAAATATCAATTGATAATTTTAAACTTCACATTTTTCAGTTTATTAGAAATACAATAAATATAAAAACTTTAGGTATAAGGATAAATAACCAGGTCTTTAGAGTAGTTCTATTATTATCGGATAACCCTCTGAATGAGATACGTATTTTAATCCGTGAGCTACGTGTAGGAATATCTACCAGCCTGACTCCAAATAAAACATAACGCCTGTCCGCTCGACCATATCGTACACAAAATCAATACCATTTGACACATTCATTATTGCACTACACTTTCGCTCATGAATTGAGGCACAAATTCTTTAGCAAAACATTTTTGTGCACAAAAAAGTGAAATTTTCAAAATTAAGAGTAAACTGAATGTTTTGAATCGAGAATATTTTCATAGCAAAAGAGTATTTCACCGAAAATTTGGGTCAAAATTTTCATTATTCTTAATATTTAATATGATTTTTATTTGTGATCACTTTGCTCTCGTTTTGAAGTGTAAAAATTAGATTTACGATAATTGAAACTGGATTGAAAGGGAAAAATTACAAAATTACGGTCATTTGTAAAATCAAATTGTATTAATACGTAGTTTTTATTTACATTATAATAAAATATAATAAATATATTTTTAAAAATTAGTCTCATAAACATATGGAAAAATGAAAAATTATTTAAGTAAGTAAGTTGCTTAAATTGATACATTTTAAATAATTAAATTACAACATTGCAATCATTTTTATTGAGTTATTGATTGAAACATAAAGTATTAAAATATTCCGTAAATATATAGTTTAATATACTATTGAATGGAAAATTATAGCAAAGTTTAGATAAACTCAAACATAATTTAATAATCAAAACGAGTATTGAATTCTGCGAACGCAATGTTAATAACATTAAATCGATAGCTAATGTTAGGCGATATCAAAGTTAAATCAAAATCAAGTCGTAAAACGTAAAGCACACACAAATTGTTATTATTATCTAATCATGGGCAAACTAAAATACAAAACCATATATATATGAAACGAGAGCAAAACTTCACATTTTTAATCTAAATGCTATTAACTTTGACCTAACTTTCCCTTTTTAATGTTTTAATGCCAGTAAACATTTTAGTTTAACATAATTATGCATCAAAAATAAATGTATATAATAAAATATAATAAATATATTTTTAAAAATTAATCTCATAAACATATGGAAAAATTAAAAATTATTTAAGTAAGTAAGTTGCTTAAATTGATACATTTTAAATAATTAAATGACAACATTGCAATCATTTTTATTGAGTTATTGATTGAAACACAAAGTATTAAAATATTCCGTAAATATATAGTTTAATATACTATTGAATGGAAAATTATAGCAAAAGTTTAGATAAACTCAAACATAATTTAATAATCAAAACGAGTATTGAATTCTGCGAACGCAATGTTAATAATATTAAATCGATAGCTAATGTTAGGCGATATCAAAGTTAAATCAAAATCAAGTCGTAAAACGTAAAGCACACACAAATTGTTATTATTATCTAATCATGGGCAAACTAAAATACAAAACCATATATATATTGTCATAAATGGCTGAGATTGCGGTGAATGCCAGTATTATGTAAAACATACCGAAAAGTAATTTATATGAGGAATTAAACTAGATCAATTTAAAACAAAATAATTAAATTACAAATTAATTTCAAGCATGTTTGCATAAAATAACTAATTTTCTTACCACTTGTGAATGATTGGCAAACAAATAGAAACCAATGAGAGTTACAATACATGTGAATGATGTGTACAGCACTTGCCATAGGGGTAACTCTAATCGAGGTGTGTCCTCATCGACTGCATCCGGTATCTCTTCCATAAACCCCAATCGAGGGCCTCCTGGCCTCCATCCCGGTCCTCAAAACACAATTTAAATATAACTATTATTTAGTCTCAAATAAAGTTTATAATAATTATTTACCGGCAAATATAGCTAACAATTTATGTCTAATTTTGTCCGACTTATTCATTTTGCGATGAATGAGTGTATAGTAATACATCTGCTGGTGTATCATGTTGTGACCCCTGACCCTGGTGGTGATGCCATACACCACAGTCTCTGTCTCCTCGGCATATGTGCCAAAAAGTC